GAGGAGGAGGAGGAGGAGGAGGAGGAGGAGGAGGAGGAGGAGGGAGGAGGAGGAGGAGGAGGAGCGTTCCCCACCTGAGAACGCGAGGCGGGCTCCCCAGGGATCCCCGACACCCTCGGGGCCTGGCGGCCGCGGCATGCCATCGTCATCCGTGGAAGACGCCAGGCGGGATCACCGGGCGGCCCCGGCACACGTTGGGCCCGCCAACCTGCCGGGGGGGGAGTAGGCATCCTTGGCGGCGCGCAGAAGGGGGTGGAGGGAGGGGGGAAGGCTTCTTAGAAGGAGGCTGCTTCTTAGAAGGCGGCGGCCTTACATCTATACATAAAGCCCGCGCCTTCTAAGAAGCAGGGGTGCTTCTAAGAAGCCTTCCCCCCTCCCCCTACCCCCCTCTGCGCGTGGCCGACATCCGAAGGCAACAAGTTTGAGGCAAACGGCGCTTGAGCGCACAGCGCACTGCTACCCTCGTGTCGCTCGTCCCTTTTGCGACTGCGCTGCCGTCAGTGAGCCCGTTGCTTCCTGGATCCTCGAGGGCCGCTTGTCGAGGTTGGAGGCATCCGGGCGTGGTTGCTCTTCCTTGGCGCTCCAGAAGCCTATTGCCTTGCTGAGATACCGTCTATCATAAGGAGCCGAACTCTATACACCGACGCCTTTGTCTGGCCTCGCACTGAATCTCGCACAGGAAAGCGGATCCTGGTGTATACGGGATCCTGGTGTATACATTCTTCGTCGCTTCACCAGGAAGACGGTGAAACAAGTATACACCACACCACCCCGACGTCGTCCCCGACCCTCAAAAAGTCCTGGGATTGAACAACCGCCCGCCACTGGTAATGTGTATGCTCCAGTCTCCGATATCACTTCCCCCAAAGAGCTCCAGATCAAAGCGTTAGAACAGTCCGGGGTCCGCGCGGACCTCCGAAACTGCACATGCAAGTCCTTTGCTGCGGATCGTTTGGACTCAGGGGCGGCTGGGGGTGCCTGAGCCGGATACGTCCAAATGGCCGATTCGGGAAACCCTGAGCCAAGAGCGTTTTCGTCTCTTGGGAGGGGGCATCTTTTCGCAGAACCCTACGGTCCCACGCTCGAGCACCCCCTCCCCTGAGGGGATGGCACAACGAGAGCGGCCGCCAAGATACCCTCTAGTATCAAGGCGGGCCCTCATCAAAACGACTGAACTAGCTCCCACCTGAGCCAGGCGTCCCGTCAAAAGCGTGAAGCCCTGAGCCAAAAGCGTTTTCGTCTCGTGGGGGGGGGCATCTTTTCCACTGCCGCCGACTTCCGACGAGCTTCCGCCAGCGAAGCCGCGAGACCGTTTCCCTTCCGCCGACCTTCCGCCGCCGTCCGCCGAGGGAGAGATGACAACTCCTTCGGCCCCCCGAGGGCAAGGCCCCTCTTTTGGAACGCCTCGAATCGGGGATGGACCAAACCCCCTAAACGTGGCAGGGCTGGACGTGGAAGGGCTGGACCTCAACGTTGTTTGTCGTGTTGTTGTCGTTTTGTGTTTCGATTTGCTCAACCTGTTTTCCTGTACCTCCCTGCCAAAAACGACAAACAAAACACAGCCGATGTCCAGCAAAACAGCGTTTAGGTCCAGCCCTGAAACGTGGTTTAGTGAAAACGACCTCGGGCCCAAACCTGGCGGGCGCAAGCCTGGAAAATGACGACCGCGGCGCCGTCTCGAGAACCGAAAACGGACAATGCACTCATCGACGTGTCAGGGTGTGGCGTCTGTCCACCCCCGATCAAACAGAGTCGGTCAGGGGCGGGGAACGAAGCCAAATCGCTCAAAACCTGCCCCCAGACGCCTCCTGGAGACAATAAGTCGTTCGAGCCGCGTCCAGCCAGTGGCGAGCAGCCCCAGGTGGTCTACACAATGGACGAGAAAGCTCCTATCTTCCCCCCTCTCTCTCAAGGGGCCCAGTGACACACAGATGAATGAACACAAATCCGAGGATCCCCCGTACTTTGCAATATTTTCTGGATGTCCGTCTCCCCCCCACACTGACACGTAGTCTCCTACATTTTCCTGGGAATCGACGATTCGTTTTGTCTGTGTGTTTTCCTTTCTGAAAAAAATCCTGTTCCCCCCCCCTCTCTGCTGACCGGAACCTAGGAGCTGGGCCACCTCAGCCTCCCGAGCCAACCTCAACCCGGGACCTCCACGCCTCCAACTCCCACCCTCCACAGCCTGTCCTCGAGACCTCCCTTTCGGGTCGGGCGAAAGGGGGGGATAGCAAAGGGGGGGTTTGAGAATCAGCTCGCGTAGCTGATTTTCCCGGCGCCTCCCGGCGCCAGAGGCGGCTATGTATCGAGGAATGGGCCCCTCGGCGGGGCCGAAACCAGCTGCATGCAGCAGATTTCGTCCCCCCCCCTTTCCATATATCCCCCCCTTCCGCCCGTCCCGACCCTCGTGGCCACCGGCACCTTGCCCCCATCCCTCCTCGAGCCTCTTCTGCATCTCCTTGAGGTTGCCGAGGTCGAGGGCTGCTCCCTTGGCGGCCTCGAGCGGCGGCTGCAGCCACGCTCTCCTGCTCACTGCCTGGGCTCCTCCCCCACGTGTCCTCCTGCTTCCTCGCCCGTGCTCGCCCTCCCTCCTCATCCCGCCTCCTGCTCCAGCTCCCCCACCTCCTCCTCTTCCTCCTCCTCCTCTTCCCCCTCGACCGTTTTCAGCCTCCTCCTGCTCCTCCTCCTCCTCCTCGTTCCCCTCCTCCTCCTCCTCCTCCTCCTCCTGCTCATCCTCCTCCGCTCCGCCACCGCCACCTCACGCTCCGTCATCGTCTTCCCAGCTCCCGCACGCTGCTCTCGGCAGCAGGGGTGGCGGGTCGTAAGGGAGGCGGGGCCTGGACACCCGGGGGGCCCTCTTCCCCGGGACCAGCTCCTCCTCCCGAGCCGCTGTCGCCTGCCCCGGGGCCGAAGAGGAGCCCTGGGAGACCGAAGGCGGAGAGCAAGCCTGCAGTCTTCCCTCGGGGAGACCGTCAGGGCGAGTCTCGTGCACGGGCGACTCGCGTGGGCCCGACGAGGCCGTCGAGAACACGACGGCCCAACATCTGAGATTTGACGCGGGCTCCTGCTGCAAGCATCCCACGAAAACTGGGCCGTCAAAGTCCAGGGCGGGCTCGCCAAGAAACGTGGACGAACCAGAATTCCGGCGCACTCGAATCTTACGTTTTTCAAATGTTATGGCGAGTCTCCTACTCCGACTCCGCAATCTCCAGACCTCTCGAGGGGAGCGCTCTGGGGCGTGGGATCTCGAGGCAGATCCCACCGTGGCCACGAGGACTCGCCCCAGGAGGTTATACGAAACACCCGACATCGTTGAAATCTAGACGCCCTCACCCTCCTCCTCCCCCTCCCCCTCCTCCTCCTCCTCCTCCTCCTCCTCCTCCTCCTCGTCCTCCTCCTCCTCCTCGTCCTCGTCGTCCTCCTCCTCCACCTCCTCCTCCTCTTCCTCCTCCTCCTCCTCCTCCCTCCTCCCTCCATCGCCCGCCCCATGTCTGGAGCCTGTGGCAGGTCATCAGCGCGTCGTTGTCGTTGTCGTCGTGGTCGTCGTCGTCGTCGTCGACGTCCTTCTTGGTCGGCGGCACAGGCCGTAAGGCCTTCACAGTCTACATCCTCGATCCTCCGCGTCGTTCTTGTCCCCCTCCTTTTACTTATCCTGCTACGCCCTTCTCTCGGAGGAGGGCATCTCGAGACAACGGCGTAATTGCCGGCAGCCCCCCTTGTGATCTTCGTCTTCTTGGGGCCTCCTGGAAGCTCCACATCGCCAAGGACGGATCCGCGTCGAAAAGCTGGTCAGGATCGACCCAGAGGGGGGAGGGCCCGCGCACTGACTTTGAGCGGACTTGGGCCTGACGGGGGGAGCCACCGCTGTCTCGACGGGCCTTCCTCCGAGCCTCGCCGTCCGCCCCGCGAAAGAGTGGCAGCAGCACCGCCGCTGCAGAGCGAGCCCGGGCAAGGGGGGGGAGTCGAAACCCCGGCGGGGAAGTCTGCGTCCCGGGGGGAGACGGAAGGCAGGTTGCTTGGAAGCAGCAGGGCAAAAAAGGTGGAGGGGAGGACGGGATGAAGGAGGGGGAGCGAAGGGGCGGGGTTCAGGCAAGACGCACGAGAGACGAAGGAGGGGGTCGGGATGAAGGAAGAGACAGAGGTGGGAGGCAGGGAAAACGGAGGGCTGCAGCAGCATGGACCCAGGATGAGGATGTAGGGATGATGAAGAGGGGGTGACAGTGAGTGGCGGGAAACGGAGGAAGGAGCGAGGGAGCATGAGAAAACATGAGACGGGGCCGAAGAAGAAGAGGGAGGAGAAGCGAGCGATGCTGGGACCCGTCCAGGTTGCCCAGACACGACCTGTCGATCAGACTGAGCACCGCTCACGCCCCTGGGAGCGATGAGGGCAGAAGGAGGGAGGAGGATAGGGGGCAGAGGGGAGGGGAGGGGAGGGGAAGAGAGGAGGAGCGAGAGCACGGAGGGCGCCCTGAGAGACTGGCAGCTCCAATCGGTCTCCGAACCCCTCCCCGGGTCCAAACGCGCCAGCTCCCCGGGCTGCATCCAGCCGCGGCGACGAGACCCACCCCCTCCCCCGAAGGCCGACGTTCCTGCTGCCTCAACTGGCCGTCCTCTGAAGCGAGGCGGAGCGGGTGGGATGGCACACGCAGCGCTCTGCCGTCGCGCGCGCTGGCGGCCCGCTGGGTGCTCTGCCCTGTCCCCCGAGCAGCACACCCGCGACCCACAGGCCGAGGGCCCGGCCAGCGCGAGCCCCTCGCGCGCGAATTCGAGCACGTGCAGGCGGCGCGCGCACCGTGGCGCGGCCGCCGGGACGGACGCCCCGGCCGAGGCGCGCGCGAGGACTGGGCCCCGACCGGGGTTGGGGGGCGGAGGCCACCACGGAGCAGGCGCGTCAGGGCAGGGCGAGCTGAGGCAAACGGCAGTTGGCCTCCTGAGGCAAACGGCAGTTGTCGCCAAGGCTCGAAGCAGCTCGGGAAGCCGGGGTGCGCTTGGTCCCCGGGAGGGGTCGGTCCGGGGACAGCAGTTGAGCTGCCGCAGTCTCAGCTCGCCTTGACCCGAGGGAGACGGAGAGCGCTCGGGAGGAGCAGCGGGCCCGCGGCCCGTCTCGCGCGGAGGCCCCTCACTCCGCGGCGTCGACCCGCTGGCGCTTGTCCGCGGGCGCTGCGGGCTCGTCCACGCGCACGACCGCCGCCTCCTCGGAGGCAGGGCTGTCCGCCGGGCTCGCCCGCCGCTTCGTGGGCGTGGGCGCCTCAGCTCCGGCGCCCTCCGGGCCGGCAGCCGCTTCGGTCGAGGCCGGGGCCCCCCCTGGGGCATCTTCGATCATCACCGGGGTCGCCGCAGTGCCGAGGCCCAGCAGCCTCTTCCGCCACGCCCTCTCGCGCTGCGCCCTGGCCTTCTCGAGGTCCCCGATCTGCTGCGTGGCCCTCTTCGCCGCGAGCTTCTCCTCGGCCTTCTCCCCCTTGCGCGCCTGCTCCATCTCGTGCAACGCCTCGGCCTGCCTCGCCCGCTGCGCTTCCAGCACCTCTTTCTCCCTGGCCCTCGACTCCTCCAGCGCCTTCTTCGCGACGAGGGCTGCGTCTGCGGCGGCCCGCTTGGCTTCCTTCAGCTCCTTCAGCCTGTCGCGGCCCTCTCGCTCCAGCTCCAGGAGCTTCACGGTGCGGATGGCCTCGGCCCGCTTCTCCTCATGCGAGGCGGGGACAGATCCACATCACCAGCCTGGGAAACCGACGTCCTGGGACCCCAGCGGGCGGTGGATCTGGAGAATAATTCGGCGCCGCAGGGCCCGAATGCGTGGATATCCACCGCCTGCCGAGGTCCCGGAAGATCGACCCCCCGGGCGGCGACTATGGATGGTAGACCCCCGCCTCGGACCTTAGCCTCCGCGACGCCGCGTATCACCTGCTTCCTGCTCAGCTGGGACGCCCGCAACTTCTGCAGTGCCTGCGCCTCCTTGAGCTTCGCTGCCTCCACGGCCGCGGCCGCCTCCTCCACCTCGCGCTGGATCTCCTCGCCGTCCTGGAACAGCCGCTTCGTGGCCTCCTCGACGGACGACTCGCACGAGACCACCTCGGCCTTGGCCTCGGCGATCACCTCGTCGATGTCGCGGTCGCCGACCTCGGCGACGAGCCGCGCGCGGATGTCCGCCCTGCCCCTCGGGTGCCGCGGCGCGGGCAGCTCCGCGTCGCCCCCGTCCGTGAGGGCGAGAGCTGCCCCGGCTGCCGCCCTGGCCCTGCCCTTCGCCTTCGCCTTACCCTTGCCCTTCGCCTTGCCCTTGCCCTTGCCCTTGCCCTTGCCCTTGCCCTTTGCCTTGCGTTTGCCCTGGCCGCCGCCGTTCCCCGCGGGCTGCGCGGGCTCCTCGGCAAGCTCGGCTTGTGCCGCGGCGGGCCGAGGGCTGCCGCTGCCCTCGCCGCCGTCGGGGGCGGTGACGGGCGCAAGGTCCTCGGCGAGCGCCGCCATGGCGCTGCTCAGTGCGAGTTCCTCCTGGGCGCGCGGTCGAGTATGCTGAACTGAAACGGTCTGAGCCACTTGGCCGCGGAGTGCGGTGGGGTGGACCCAGGGACCACGCGGCTAGGGGGCCCTGACATCCCGAAGGATGCATCAGACATCCAACGTAATGAGACAGAATGAAGCTCGAGCAGTCGAGCACGGCGGCAATGAGCGACAGCAGCTGGTCGGAGGACCTGGTCATCCATAGGAGGGTTTTCCAACGACCCCATTGGTATGATGACGTGCACTGTGAGAAATAAGTGGGAAAATAAGAAGAAGCACCAGCATAAGCATAAACGGTCGGAGGTCTGTGCGGATTTCTTGGATCTGCGCTGGACCCCCCCGCGCTGGCGCGCGGAGCGCGCCAAGGGTGGCCCAAGCAGGATGGAGGGCCTAAGCAGGATGGAGGAGGCAGGGAGAGGGGAGCATGAGAAAACATGAGACGGGGCCGAAGAAGAAGAGGGAGGAGAAGCGAGCGATGCTGGGACCCGTCCAGGTTGCCCAGACACGACCTGTCGATCAGACTGAGCACCGCTCACGCCCCTGGGAGCGATGAGGGCAGAAGGAGGGAGGAGGATAGGGGGCAGAGGGGAGGGGAGGGGAGGGGAAGAGAGGAGGAGCGAGAGCACGGAGGGCGCCCTGAGAGACTGGCAGCTCCAATCGGTCTCCGAACCCCTCCCCGGGTCCAAACGCGCCAGCTCCCCGGGCTGCATCCAGCCGCGGCGACGAGACCCACCCCCTCCCCCGAAGGCCGACGTTCCTGCTGCCTCAACTGGCCGTCCTCTGAAGCGAGGCGGAGCGGGTGGGATGGCACACGCAGCGCTCTGCCGTCGCGCGCGCTGGCGGCCCGCTGGGTGTTCTGCCCTGTCCCCCGAGCAGCACACCCGCGACCCACAGGCCGAGGGCCCGGCCAGCGCGAGCCCCTCGCGCGCGAATTCGAGCACGTGCAGGCGGCGCGCGCACCGTGGCGCGGCCGCCGGGACGGACGCCCCGGCCGAGGCGCGCGCGAGG